CACCCGATAGGCGTCTGTGGATTCATCAAATAATACTTTGCAAAAAACAAACGGGCTAGCCGCAAACGTCCGTGCCGTATAGCGTGAATAACCCTATATACAGGGTGTTCCGTAAATATGTTAAATTATTTTAACAGCGTGTTCTCCTAGTCATTTTAGAGGGGGTCTTCCTGGCATTTTTTTAAATTTGAGGTCTCATTTTTGAAAAAACTCCAAAATGGCGAAAAATATGAACTGAACTGAACTTTTATCCACATATTTTTTGTAATTACTACTCAACTTTTTTATATCTTATTATTTTTTTCTACGAGTATTAGTTTGTCCGGAAAAAAATTAAATCGTTTCGGCTTGTCAAAACTTTCCAAACCGTTGGATTGGGAGAGGTCAAGAAGCTCCTATAAACTCGCCTCCTAGATCTCCCGATCTAAACGCGCTTGATTTTTACTTCTGGGGCCATTTAAAAAATTAATTTAATATTTCTTACGAAATAAGAACTTCAGTGCAAACTTTTCGGTCTGTAAATTTAAATTTCATTAAAAGACTGCAATTATGCCAAGAGTGTCAAGGTGACCAATTTTAACAGTTGCTAAGTTTACATTAGAATGATTATTTAAATTTAATTTTGTTTTTCTATATCGCTGCACATGTTGTCACCATGTTGTTATTTAAGTAAAATTTATACTAACTTAGTAATTGTAATCTGAACCAAAATACACAATTTAGAAAAATAATTTAGGTTGTTAGTAATCAACTAATAATGCGTACCACAATTATTATATGAAAACGTTATTACTATTTTAAAAAATTAACTAATTACTTACACATTTTGAGAACGGCAAATAAAACTATTTTATTTTGTTGTGGGCAAACTAGTGGTCTTAGGAAAAAACAGTAAGAGATAAAAAAGTTGGTAAATAACTTGTAGTAATTAGGAAAATTATGTGTAGAAAAGTTTAAGTGCACATAAAAAAGTTCTGAATAAAACAAAAGTAGGCGTTCCACATTTCTACTCTGTATAAAAGCGCACTGAACCACAAAACATTATCATAAAATGGCACTCAATTAGCTTATAATGTATACCTAAATTGAAGTTTCTGTGTTTAACCGCTTTAAAGGAAAACAACAAAAACTAATATTTTTCGCCATTTTGGCAATCAAATATTTCAACAACGAATCCTCAAATTAAAATAATTCTCAGGAAGACCCCCCTCTTAAATGGCCAGAAGAACACGTTGTTAAAATATTTTAACATATTTACGGAACACCCTGTATATATCCATTGTTTATTTATGTAATAAATAAACACTTACACACTACCTAACTATCTACTTTCTTTGGTAACTGTTCTACGTAATAGAAAGTGAACTGTTACAACATCCAAAATATAAATTAGACTCAATACTGTAAAGAAATACCTAAACAGTGACAAATAATATACAAAAATAAATATAAAATAAAAAAATGGGTAAATTGCGTTTTCAATTTCTTTTCTTGAACAATTTTTTGGACCGTATTAAGAACACTTTTTTATTAAGTCCACACTGAGCTCAATTTTTAACTGAGAAACCCCCTACAAATTGGCCGTAGTTTTGCCTCATTTTGAAAAGCTTCGGCAGCTCTTTTTAGGAAATCTTCGTCATACTGATGAAATTTACCTTTCGCTTTTGGTGTCATGTCTGAAATTAATGCGAAATATGGAAAAATCTGTAAAAGTTCCTTCAGAAAATGTTGATAATGTTAGTGTCCGACTTTTAAAGCATTTGAAATATCATATTGGTAAGTGGTCGGCCAATTTTTATAGGTTTTCATCCCTGTAGTATTAGGTTTTTGATGTCGGTGTTACGCGTTAAAACTTTTAGTATGAAGTAAAAAGAAAATATCAATAAGGTTTGCGAATAAATAGATAGTGAGAAGAACTAGAAGGGCCATCTGTTTTCAATAGTCCGGCTACGTTCCGACTACTGATTACAAAATAATATTTGAATTTTCCGACCATCTGAATTTCACTTTAAAATATTGAAAAATTCACGTGTTTGGTTTGGAATGTTTCATGTAAATTTATTTACATACATATTATCTATTATTAATATAACTTACCTTTTAACTGTCTCACAACTTTCTTTAAAACAGATAAACTGGAGAGCACCAACACATAGTCAATTTTGCGCCTTTTTAACGGTTCATTATTGACCACTCCACAAATTAAAATGACAAAGAATCATAAGGAAAACTTGAAGGAACTGATTTCATAATTATTTAAGGCGATACTGTTAAATGCCATTAAAAAACTGATTTTTCTACTCTTTTTATATCAATGTTGGTAAGCTGCATGCACCCATATGCTGCAAAATAGGTACCTTAAAGTCACATGGAGAGTACTTTTGGGCTTTTATAAAAATTGTCATATTTATTTTTATAAACTGTGTTTTTTCCACTCCCCACAAACAAAATCCAAACTGAAAGATCTGGTCATCGAGGTAGCCATAAATAAAAACCGTTTCATTCAATCCAAGCGCCGGAAAATTATTCGTCCAGATGATTCCGCTTGGGCAAAATTATGCGGCGAGACTTCATGATGTTGAAACCATTGCACATTACGTGTTTCTAAATCTAAGTCGTTCAACATAATATCCAGATCATTCCGAAATAATTGAAGTTACCGACTTCCATTTAAGGTGCCTTCAAAAATAAATGGACCTAGAATTTTTGAATCCACCATTCCGCATCAAATCTTAAATCCAAATTTAATTTGTAGTCTCCTTTGCTCTACTTGATGGGGATTTGTTTGATTCCAAATATGTTCATTGTGTCTATTAAGCATACCACAATTTGTGAATCGAGTTCCATCGGTTCATAATTTTTTATAAGGGAATTGGATATCTTGCTGGCATTTGTTTCGGAACCATGAACAAAAATTTACAGGCAGCGCATCATCCCCTGGATGTAAAGTTTGGGATACTTATAATTTATACTGATGGAATTTGTGTTTTTTGAACTCTCATCACGGTGTTTTGGAAAGTCCCGGATGCCGCTGCAATCCCTCTGATGAAAATCTGTGGAGTCTGGCTTACAATGGCCAAGACATTAACCTCCACATCTTCATTTATTACTTTTTTTTTCATTTCTTCGCTGTGTAAAACTAGTACCCAAATTGTCGTATACTCGTTTGCATGTTGTCAAGGACGGCTGACGACGGTGAAAATCCCCTCTCAAAATAGTAATCAGAGGCTCGTCCAGCATTTTTATCACATCTAATGTAGGTTTCAAACATGCCGCGCTTTTCTTCATTGGAATAATCCATTTTTACAATAAATTACTTAAATTTCGCAACTAACTTGAATTTAAACCTGAATGTCAAATAATTCAAAGATGTAGTTATTATTTGTTACTATGTAAACACTGCTGTCTGTCTTAAACTATTTTCCATTGCTAACTTCGATGAACTAAAGTGAGAAAGTAAAAATCATTCGTAGCCACTTCATTTTCTAAAAATATAATCTAACGGTGTGATAAATCACTGAAATCGTAATAAAATGCTCTATTCAATAAAGGCATAATGAAATATGGTTACCGTTTGAAAAAAAGCGCGATATGTCAAAAATGAAAATTAATTTGTAGAAATGTCCCATGCCATTTTCTTTAGAATGCAATTTTCTACAACTTTTCTTTTTATTTTTTTCCTGTCAGATTAATATTGATGGAACTAGGAGTCATTCTGCCATAAATCAGTTTTTGTCAGATATCTCCTGACTCCTCCTCTTAAATTTTAGAAAAATAAAATTTATTTCGAGTGAAGCATTCAAAACTACAATTCTTTGTTCATTTAACCTTCGTTGTATCTGCTGTAGTTTCCAACACCCTCATATTAGTCATTGAAAAAGCTCACCCTGTATATATGACATTGATTACCGAGCCCGCTAATGCCCATGTACTGCGATCCATTGTTTCTTCCATAGATAAATGTAAACCAATGCATATATTTAACCTAAGGTAGAAACTCATCGAACTCAACGAAACACAAACTCCTTCCTGTTCAGCTTGACCGTCGTCGAAAAATCGTTTTTTTCTGTCGTCCAAAAACATGAAAGTCACAAGCGGACAAGCATTGAATGTAGGAAGGAAACGCCAAAGTTTTCCGAAAGACCCGAAGGCCATGCGCTATCGTGAAGAAGAATAACATTTTTGACTGATTGGATCTTTACTTTCCTCCGATGTGACAATTTTGCCGCACTCAAGAACTTGCAATAAATAACACTGCACATTATTTGTGCATCCGTCGTGGAGACAATCGACGGAACAAGAGCCTTGTCGATAAAAACAGTTGCCCTAATATATATGACAGGCAACTGAGTCTTAGCTTTCACTGACCCCGTTCATCCCCTCTTATTTCCACGCCCCCCTCCCCGTACACTCAAGTTTTATCACATGTTACAATTAGACTCAAAAACACTTTTGCTGAAATCAATCCAAGAGGCACTGGGATGTCTTATTCAGTATTAAAAATAAGGGTAAGATAAAGTTGTCTATTCCAAATGTGTTTAGTTTTCGAAATATTGTCAATTTAATGTTTTCGTATGGCTATTTTGTCGCATATTATTTTCAATATAAATTGTGTAGCACATATTCCCTTATGGGAAAAATTAATAATTCGAGTGGCTGCAACTGACATTTTTTACATAAATTATCAAATATGTATATCAAAAACGGTTCTATGGAGGTGTAGGATAATAGACATGAAATACATTTACAATTTGGAGCAGAATTCAAAAATGTAATAATATATAGGGTGTTCCATTTAATTATTTCCAGTTAATACTTCCGGTATGAACGGAAGTGTGGCCATCTTGAAAATATTTTCATCCGGCTACCCCTAATGAGTTCGGCACAGCGTCCAATTTTCCAATTTCTCCTACTTATAGTTTGTCAGATACCGATCGCGGCGGTTCCCGGTGGATCGCCCTCTATAGTAGTTGAACTTGCTTATAATTACGTTACTCGAATTTTACAATCTTGTGGGTCGGCCACTATGGCTCTGAGTTCCTCAATTATGAATTAGTTCTGCTAGCAAGTGGCTAACATCAGATTCTTCAACTAAAATTAGTTCTTCCGCCATCTTTCCAAAAACATAAACAAAACACGGCCTCGATTTGGCAAATGTCACTCAGTCACTCACGTGATATCAAACTCTTTCTCTCATTAGTTAAATCGCCAACTGCACGAACGTCGTAGCGAAATAAAATTTGGTTAATTACCAACAGCATGGAAACGTACTGGAAACGACGAGCTTCAAGCAACGTCGGGTTTCTAAATTGAAACGTGCACGCGCGTATGTTTATTTCTCGAACGGCGGCAACTGCAAGCTACGAACGACGGAACGGCACCAACTGCTGAGTTTATAAATACAGCTTAACTTCGCCCAGATCTACAACTCCTCTGAACTTAAAAAACAAATAGATCACCATTTGATATACCCTCGTAGCTTTAAGTGTCTGTTATATTAAGCTCCTGCCCAGTACACAATTAAAAAGTTACAATCCATTAAATAACCTAGTTTGCGTATTACTGACTTATATTTTTGATTTGCAGAATTGGTTCTAAAAGTGCGAATCCACGATTCGCCTGACCCCGACTTTATAGAAATCGAAATCCCGAAGTGGAAATTAACGTACAACGCTCTTTTGAAAATTTGCTGTGAGGAGCTTGGCTTATCCGAGTCACAAGTAGATCGGATTCGGAAATTGCCCAACACACGACTTCGAAAAGACAACGACGTTAAACGATTAACTGATTTCCAGACTCTTGAGATAGTCTTGAAAAGCAGGAGTATTGATACGTCTAGTAATTGCTACGAAAGCATTAGTGCTCGCAAAGATCAAACTATATTATATTAAGGTCCGTCTTCCAATGGTGATTCGAACCTTAAGGGTGAATGGCTGAATAAGTTCAAACTGGTACATCACCTCGCGCCCCCAGAATCGAGACTTGTTTTTGACTTTTGTGAAGCAAATCATCTGTTTAAAGTAGTTAAGCCGAATAAATACTAGACAATTTCTAACCATACTTCTGAAAATGCCTCTATTTGGAAAAGACAAAAAATCCAAAAGCAAAAATGGTAGTAAAGACTGTGCTGACAAGAGTCTAGTTGACGAAAAGTACCATCTCAAAGAACAGCTAGGGACGGGAGCATTTTCTGAAGTCAGGCTTGCGGAGAGCAAAGAAAAGCCCGGCCAATTATTCGCAGTCAAAATAATTGACAAAAAAGCTCTAAAGGGCAAAGAGGACTCATTGGAAAATGAAATTATGATTTTAAGAAAGCTGACGCATCCAAATATCGTTCAACTCCTGGAAACTTTCGAAGATAAGAATAAGGTTTATCTTATAATGGAGCTGGTTACCGGAGGCGAACTATTTGACCGGATTGTTGAGAAGGGTGAGTGAATTATATTAGTGCTTAACAATTTAACTTCCACATGAAAAAATGTGACAGGACCGAGGCGTCAAAAAGGCGTCAAAACACATCTAATCAGTTCTTTTACATCAACGACACAATTCAGTATCAACAAAACAGTGTCTTCGGTTTTTTAAATTTGGCCACAGCAGAATTTATATTGAATGCCTAACTAACCTAAAGTTTTATGAGCACCATATTGTCGATCTTACTCAAGGAAGATTGACTGGAAATGATCTATGCGTATCTTCGAAACGCAGATCCAAGCAACTGATTTCTTGCGCCTCCGTACCAGTCACGCAAATTTATCAACCACGAGTAGCGTCTTCTTCTCTGTATTTAGAAATTACTGAAAGGCCGGATTTTTTTCTCAATGTTGGTAGACTAATACAGATTAATGGAAAATTATTGACGATGCGACTACGTATCCGCCCACAGGTGGGTATAACCTCAAAGATCCCAGAAATCGAGTATTATCCACATATCAATGGGTATATGGGAGAATTATTGGAGAGTGAACCCTGTAGTGCAGATCATGATTTCTAGCATGTAATTTGATTTTCTCAACCAAATAATTGTATTCTAACTAAAGCTCGGATTTAAAGGCAAGAAAATTTTAAGAAAACGGCGCATATATAGGCAAGGATTTTTTTAAAAAAGGCAGACATATTGTGATATAGGCGGCTGCCTTATCGTGCATATACTCGTACATGCCTACACGCAAATGTAAATGTAAAAAGAAATATATTTACTGCGTTTATTAAACAATTTATTAAAGAATTTATATTATTTTTCATTCAACTTCAACTAAGTGATTTTCTGTGTTATCGGTCTTAAAGCAGAGCCTTCTGTCACTTAAAATAAGTTTATACATCGAAAAAGATCGTTCGACGTCAACAGATGTAATTGGAGCAAATTTGAGGCTGGATAATATATCAGGATCAATTTGCGAATCATCAAAAAAGTCTCCATTTCAAAACCTTAGAAATATTAGTTAATAGTGAAAAACCTTCATTTTTATCAAAAACATTTTTCATTTTTCTGGAAATAATCTGATCAATGCTTCCGGGTCCTGAATTAATTGTTACCTTTAAGTTATTTGTTAGTTCAATTGATTCAAACAAAGATATGTTTTGTCTTTCCAGCAAAGTAATAGTTTTTACAATTACTTTAAAATTTTGATTTATATGAGCTAGCTGTTGTTTTAGTATCCAAAACTATATTTTCAAAATCCTTTTGGCTTCTCTAACTGCTTCGGAAGTACTACTTTCAAGTTCTGACATCACTAGCTCTATCCCACTGAAGTGCTCATAATAAAAAAATGTTGCTTCAAGCCAAGTTCCCCATCTTGTAATTACTGGTTTAGGCGGCAAAGGGACCCGGGGTAGTGTTTCTTTATAAAACTGTACTCTTACCGGAGCCTTCAAGAAAACTTTATTCATAAAATTTATTAAATCCAATGGTTTAATAAATTTTATGAAAAAGTTTGTGGTCAAAAAGTGGTCAATACCAGGGGAAACTGATTTCGTATTTCCTCGGCAATTCTATTCACGCCGTGAGCAACAGAAGTGCAATGAATTAAGCTAGGATAAAAACTTTTAAATTTGCTGCAGCTTTTAACATATATGCGGCAGCATCTGAAAGCATTAATATTATTTTATTGGTTGGGATGGCATTGGGTAAGAAAAGGTTTGTTAAACTGTCTTGTATAAATCTACTAATAGTTAAATTGTTAGTTTTTTCTAATTCTTTAACAGCAATTAAATAAGGTCTGTTTGAAAAATGTTCACTCAGAATTCCAACCATCAAATTAGCTATATATCTGCCGCATATATGTTTCATCTGTCGTTTCGTCAACAATAATTTACTTTATTTAAAGGAATGTTAGTTTCGACTATCATCTGACATAATTCAAGTTTAAAATTGTCTTCCTGCGTTTTTTTTTAACAGCCTGAACTTTCTATCAGAGGAGTTTGAAACAATCTAGTCGACTTATTCTTTTCAGTATTCCTTTTATGAATGAAACTTACCGGTTTGCAAAACACTCCATCTCCTTCTGGGGAAAGGCCCGAGTGTAGGCGAATCCATCCACTTATCTTAGAGCACATATTTTTAGGCATTATAATTTTTTTTTTCGAAAATATTTTGAAACTAGAATTGACACCACTTGCTTTTATGTAAAAAATAGAACAAAGTAAAACGAACCCAGTAACTGACCAACTGACAAAATTTTGAGAGAAGCTTTATATTCGGTGTCCACCGGGAAAATCCAACTAATGGCGTTATGCAGGCAGTGCGCACGCACCGCACGTATTTGAAGAGTAATAAAGTAATTTCGAATGAGCGGAGCACAATCCATTATTTTTTTTATAAAAGTTCAAACTTGAAAAGTAACAAAAATTAATTTATTTTGCAGACTAGGCGCAGTAAGAGTAAAGGAATCATAGTTGTCAGATGTGCAATAAAGTATAATATTAGTTCTTTAAAATGAGTCCTTGCAGAAAGTGTTAGGTTTCCATTATTTACCACGAAATGTGTGGTTTGTAGTAGAGGTGTGAGAAATGGTTTTTTTCTGTAACAGGTTACAACGTTTACGTTCAGTTTGGTAATATGTTTCAAAATGCGGTTCCAAAAGAAACATGTTACCTTTTAAATGTTTCATTAAAAATGCGCAATGATGATGATAGTAAAAATACTGATAATAAATAATTATTTAGTTTATTTAAAAAAGTATTCTTAACATTGGTAAACTTAAAAATAAAATATTCTAAAACCAAAAACAAAACATGGGTCCGAAGTAACTACTTAAGGAACAAAATAACTGACAATAAACTGGAGTGATTAAATAAAATATACGATTTATATGCGAAAATGTTTAAAAATCTAATTTTCATTTAAAAATGAATTACCATTGATAGGTTAACCCGATTTCCCGAATGACACTCTGGCAACTCGGCGAACTAATGCGTTGAAAATCAATCAGATTCACTTCTTTAGAGTATTTTACTTTGCAATCAATTAGCCAAAATCAAACCCCAGATACGATTTTGAAAGCATTGAGCTATACAACACTGCAATCCATATTCTCATGTAATACTCCATTTTTGAACTATTGCGTTTTAAAAATCAAAGAAAATCTGCCTACTATGGATTTTAAAATCTGCTGTTCACTTTACCAAAGTGACTACCAGGTGACGACGGTGCGTATGAAAATCGAGTTTTCGACCGATCAATATCCTACCTTTTCAGAGTCGTTTCTAATTACTACAAACAGTGTTGCCCGTTGCCGCATAGTAATCTTGAATTATACAGGGTGATTCAAAATTGGTTTCATACCTCTGGACTCTACCCAACATCTGGAGGTGTTGTCTGGCGGTGTTTAGGAGTACAGAAAAATGTAATGGGCAAGGTAATCTGCCTAATTAACATCACGTAAATACCCGTTGCTTCGTGATTATTATAAACTCCGGTAACCATGTACCTAATTATACAGAAAGTGACAATATAATAGACAAATGTAAACGGTAAATTGAACAGGATTCGTTGATCGATGGAACGTACTTTCTAAATGTCAATTATTGTCATCATAATTTCTAATTGATATGTTTACAGTTTACAAATAAACATTCATTTTTAATTCATTCATTCGTCTTTAATTCCAAACAAGTTCCTGCGTAATCACCTTATTATCCACTCTTCTCGTATTCGGTTAATTAAATCTTGATCAATTTGTACCGTGTGTACCGGTGTTCAGTAAGCCGTTGTTTTAATGTGTCCTGTGCGTATCTAACATACGTGGTAGGAATGTTTCTTGGTATTTATGGGGTGCCTGGGAAAGTGTCAGTTGCGCAATGCTCTGAGGATTGAAGGCTATGCTGCAATCATCTCCAATTCTTGTTCCTCTGTGTCTGGAACCCGAACATCTAATGTCGCCTATATATTCCTGGAGCCAATCAATGTCTGAAACCCTTTGTTGGCGTGAATTCTTACAGCTACTGCTATCTTACTGTGACATTTCCCCAGAACTTATCGCAAATCCGAAAATTCGTGAAATGACAAAAAACATCATTGCCGCTCTGACTTTTCATCAAATAATTGAAGAAGAGAAGTTTTTTAATATAAAAAATCTTTGTTATTTGAAGCAAAGATTGTAATTTTTTTCGAACGGTTAATATTACAGTAGGCTACCAATCAAAGGTGGGACCATTTCAAACTAATACCTAACAAATAATAACAAACTAACCTAATTTAGGCAGATACAAAAATATTCCATGAATCCGTAAAAATGTTTGCTTGCAAATGACGATCGCTATGATTATTTGAAAGAAAACGACTGAACGAATACGGTATGGAAAGCAATGAGGAGTCAAATCCCAATAGCGCGCAGAATAAAAAAATATATAATATACAGGGTGATTCAAAATTGGCGTCATTCCTTTTAAGGCGCTACAGGGGATCACTTAGAGAGTACAAGAAAAACATAGAAATTTTTTTTTCGAAAATTTCGAAAATATGTCAGCAGTTGAAGATGGAATTTCAACTTTGTTATTAGGTATTAGTTTGAAATGGTCCCATCTTTGATTGATCGCCTATTGGAATATTAACCGTTCGAAAAAAATGACAATCTTTGCTTCAAATAACAAAGATTTTTTATATTAAAAAAGTTCTCTTCTTCAATTTTTTAATGAAAAGTCAGAGCTCCTTTCACGAATTTTCGGCTTGGCTCCAAGAATATATAGGCGACATTAGATGTTCGGATCTCAGACACAGAGGAAGAAGAATTGGAGATGATTGCAGCATAGCCTTCGAGCATCAGAGCATTGCGCAACTGACAGTTTCCTAGGCACCCCATAAATACCAAGAAAAGGCTACATTCCTACCACGTATGTTATGCCGGCGCCACACGATGCTACGAACACCTTCC